CAAAAAAACAAAAAAACAAATCAAGCCTTGCCTGATGGAGTCATGAGCATCTTTGTGTCTTTCTTCTCTCTGAGCTACTGTGGCTCTTCCTCTACACTAGGAATCCAGCTGTGCCTGCCTGCCTCACCATACAGTAAGCGATGCGACAGCAGAGATTACATCTTTCACTTACTTGCTCACCAAATGCTTGCTAACTCATTATGTGTTGGATGTTCTCCCAGATGCTGGGGAGACAAAGGGGAACAAGAAAAATCCCAGTGCTTATTTTTCTTGTTAGCCCCAATATGTAGCACAAGGCTTAGCCTGGATAGCAATATACAAAATATTAAATTGATACCAATAACTATTAAACTGATTTCAAGTATGAAACATTTATTTAGAAGACATCAAAATATAAAACAACTTATAACTCTAGAATTTATTATTTAAAAAAATATGAGGAACCTCTGACAGGAAGAAAGCATGAAGGTAACACAAGAAACTTGGCTGCAATGACTTCATAGTGATACAATTAGATTGTATTAATTAGGGAAGTTTTCTAGAGGTTTCTAGAATCTAAAGGAAGGAAACAACGTAGCAGAAATAAATGGACATTTGGGGAAGGTACAGAGTCAGGACATGGAAAGTGTGACCCATTTATTGAGGGATAAATAACAAGACATACTTCCTAGGATATAATCCTGTACAAGGCTTTGAAAACTATGGTAAACAAAATGAAATTGATTCACAGGGAGTAGAAAGCCTGTGTCAACTTTAAGCAAGTAAATTACATCAGCAGTGAATTCTAATAAGCTACTGAACACAATAATCTTATTTAAGTGACACAACTAGGTTGAAGGAGTGGCTCAGTGGTAGAGGACTTGCCTAGGATGTCTCTTGCCTAGCAAGACCACAAAACAACAATTAAGCGCTGGAGAAGATGCCAATTCCACTCATTTTTATTCTCACTGATACTCTTTTTTTATCCTCATTGATAATTTCTTTTTATTTTACTTTGAGAAAAGATCTCAGTAAGTTGCCCAGGTTGGCCTCAAATGTGTGATCTTCCTGCCTCAGCCTCCTGAGTTGCTGGGATTATAGATGACATGTTCAAGGCTATACTCTTTGAAAGAAGACATATTCCCATTTGATGTGGATTGCTAAGACCATACTGTATAAGGAAACAACTTCACAGAGGTCAGCTTTCTGCTGGGTGTGAGGGAGCATGCCTATAATCCCAGTATTCTAGGAAGTTGAGGCAGGAGGATCACAAATTCAAGCCCAGCCTGGGCAACTTAATGATTTAGCAAGACCCTGTCTCAAAATAAAAAATAAAAAGGGGCTGGGGATGTAGCTCAGTGTGAAGGCCCTGGGTTCAATTCCCAATACTGGGGAAAAAAAAAGTTAGCTTTCTCAACTCCACCTCAGGAGTAATGATAGCCTAGCCGCTGATTGTTCCTTACAGAGATAAAGGTGGAAAAATGGAATTCTAATAGGTTTTATTTATTTTTCTTTTCAGTACTGGGATCGAACACAGGACCTTGAATTTTTTTTTTTTTTGGTATCGGGGATTGAACTTGGGTCCTTGCGCTTGCGCAGCAGGCGACAGAACCACTGAGCTAAATCCCCGGCCCAAGGACCTTGAATTTTTGAGGCAGGCGTGGTGCTACTAAGCTAAATCCCTGGGGCCTTATTTTATTATTTTAAAACCTTTGTGTGTGTGTGTGTGTTGCTGGAGATCAAAACTAAGGCCTTGCACACACTATGCAACTGCTCTGCCACTGAGCTATCTCCTCAACCCTCCACCTCAATAATATTTATTTATTCATTTTTTTGGTGCTGGGGATTAAACCCAGGTACTTGTGTACACCAGGCAAGGACTCTACCACTGAGCTATACTTCCTAGCTCCTGAAACAGATTTTAAATCTAATTTCCCTGACAACAAAGGTAACATGTACAACATTAAACAACCTATAAATGGATAATGTAGAAATTTAAATCCCTTGTAATCCATGCTTCTTGTTGATCACAGTTACAGTTTGATATAGTAAAAGTTTTTTTTTGAGACAAAGTCATGATATATAGTTCAGGCTGGCCTTGAACTCACTATGTAACCCATGTTGGCCTCAAACTTGGCGGTGATCCTCCTGCCTCAGCCTCCTGAGTGCTGGGATTACAGGCATGCCACCACCATGCCTGGCTTTGATATTAAAAGGTTTTTTGTTTGTTTGTTTTGATATTAAAAGTTTTGAAAAAACAAAACTCTGCTTTCCTCCTTTTTGTTGTCACATAAATTTGACAACATACTGTACTTACTTGTTAGTTTGTAAAATTGGAAAGACTGTGTTTCCCACACCACAACCAACCTGCAGATAGAAATGAACTATTAATCACAGAATAGAATCTATTACTATTAATTCCCTGAATCTTCATAATAATCAACAGTAAATAACCTTGTGCACTTAGGGAAGGTGTATCACCCATGACATTTCCCCCTTTTTTGTGATCCTGGGTATGGGACCTGGGCCCTCAAGCATGCTAGCTAGGCAAGTACCGTGCCACTGAGCTACTTCTCTGGTCTTGACCTCAGGAACCCTTAAGGAGACAACCAGGAGACAACAAAAAGACAGAGCTTCCATTACTAGAGCGGAACTGGTCTAGAAAAAGACATGGGCTCTGCTTTCACTTTTTTTTGTTGTTGTTACTGGGAATTGAACTCAGAACACCGCACTTATGAAGCAGGCAGCGAAACCACTGAGCTAAATCCCCGGCCCTGCCTTCACTTTTTGAGTTCTAGCAAATGATCCTGTAGATGAAATATTTTCTTACTGAGCTCCATTATACAATTATTGGACAAACAGATCAAGTTTAAAAGTTTAGAAAAAGAGGAGCATAGTAACCCTGTTTTAAATAAAGTAGTAAATACAGAGTAGTAATAAAAACAGCAACAATTTTTAGAGGGCTTACTATGTACCAGACATTGCTCTTAGCCATTTTATACACATTATCTCCATCTTAGCAATTATGAAGCTGAGAGTCAGCAGTCCCACTGCACTGGAAGGGGCTTGTCCAAGATCATAGAAGAGGGGCTGAGGGGGTAGATCAGTGGTAGAGCACTTGCCTAACACTTTTAAAGCCCTAGGTTCTAGGTTCAATCCCCAGCACAACACACACACACACACACACACACACACACACACACACACGCACTCATACTACAGGACTCAATCCAAAGGCTGATCATTTCAGAATCAGCTTTCAGTGGTGTGTGTAGTACCCTATTTAGGAGTTTCTGTTAGGAGTGCCCATACAGTGCTCGCTTCAGCAGCACATACACTAAAAAAAGAGTGCCCATACAGACATTTTCTCAGCTCAAAAAACAGGCAATTAGGGTCAAATACTGTCACCTTCATCAAACAGACATCACTTTCATGGTCAGCCTTTCTATTCTACCCGGTGTGCACAATATGACAGTTTAATTCCACTACCAGGACATTAAAACAAGGTTACCTCAAGTATTCGATAGGTGGCTGAGGATCCAGGAAACTTAGCACAAATTTGCAGGTGACTGAAATTCTGAGTTTCCTCCTCAGGAGCTAACTGTGTTTTAGGTCCTAGGCCGGTTGAAGAACACTTGGGTTGTTCTTCACTTGTTGTTAAACCAGGTCCACCCTTACTGCTTTGGCATTCAGAGATTTCATTCCTCTTGTTCTCCATGAGCAAATCCTTCAAGTGATTTTCGTTTTGGCTAGGTGCCAGCTCCGGGAATTCCATAAAAAGCCAGTGTCTATCCTTGAAAAACCCATTTTCATGAATTTTGTAGAAGTCATTCCAGTATTTATGGGCATTAACCTCATAATCAACTGTAAACATTAAAAAATTTTTATTAATTAGGTCTCAAAACTTATTTTTATCTAATATCAATTGTCCTACTTCAAATTCACATTAGCACCAGTCATGTATAACCTCATCTCCCAATAATATTCATAATCTGGTCACTTCAAATCTAGCTTCAATGCAACTTTTAAGCAAAGTGTACATAATTAAAAAGTACATCCTCTAAGATGATCACGTGATCACACGGTTACCATCAACACGATTTAAATTCAATCATCAGAAAATAAGTTACCTTCCCCTAAATAAAACCATGAAAACCCCCTAAAACCAAAAGCAAAGCACTCTCAATGACCCGGCACGATTTTGTTAAAAAGCTACCCTTTTCCCTCCTCGCTTGTCCCCCTCCCCTCCCGTTCTGCATCAAGCCAGCAACAAAGGATCTTGGTCGGCCGCAGTTCTCTGGACTCTCTGGAAGGCGCGTCTAGCCCTACAACGGCCGGCGATATCCTCTGGCCTCACCTGGGCTCACCTTGTTTCTCTTGGCACACCCGCTGGGCACTGTTCTCCAGCACTTTCCTCTCTGCCGCCGCAGCCTGCTCTTCTGACCACTCCACATTGTCCCTGGGAAAACCAAACATGCAGCTTAGGAGCCTCAGGTCTCACTTGCGGGGAGGGTGAGTCGTTGGCTGGGGAGCGCCTCTCCCCGGTAGGAGAGCATCTCGGGTAGGGCACTAGTGGTCGGGTGGTCAAGACTTTCTCGAAGAGCTCAGGAGCGGCGGGACGGGGGCGAATCGCAGGTATGGCGAGGGGTAGGGCAGTTACCAGGTATTGTGGTGGAAGACACGCGATGGATCGCTCAGGAACCGGGTCCCGAACTGCTCCCTCTTCCTGACCTGGGTTGGGGGCGCGCCCTCAGAGTGCGGATCAGCCATGCCACCGGAAGCCGGAAAATACCTTCGTTTCTCAACACGAGAACTTCCGGCGGGCCACGCCCCTTCCGGAAGGCGCGGGGTCTGGGCGGGAAAAGAGGTAGGAAGGGTTTGGCGGCTCGAGGCTCCCGCTCCAGGGTGGCGCTGGATTTTCCTCCTGCTGGGCTGGCTGGGAGTTGGGGAAGAGGTGTCTGGGGAAAGGGACAGAGTTGGCGGCTAGTCTCCCGGAGTCATTTCTCCTCTAGGAGGCGCTAATGGACTAGCGCGCTGGGAAGAAAATGGGAGCTCTACCGCTTAAGCCGTAGTTCCGTGCTGGAGTCTTGTTTCGCTAATTTCCCTCTAGTAGTTATGAAAGAGGATTTTTTGGGGTGGGTGGTGGTGGTGGAACTGAGCATTGAACCCAGGAGCTACATTCCCAAGGCTTTAAAAAAACTTTTATTACGCCAGTCACTAAATTGCCCAGGCTAGGCTTCCAGCTTGCCATCCTTCTGCCTCAGCTCCCAGAATGCTGGGATTGCCGGCGTGCCCCATCATGCCTGGCTAAAACAGGAAAAGTCTTAAATCACTTCAAAGAGATGAGGGTATCTAGACCCACTGTGGAGCTGATAGCCAGAATTGAAGAAGGTAGGAAGCAACAGGAGAAAACGGGAATTTCCCAACTTCTGTGGTCAGCTACTCATATTTTATGCTTTTTGGAGGTGGCCAAGATTGGGGGGGGAGGGGTAGATGTGAAATGAATTCCGAGAAATTGAGGTTCATCCATCAACTCAAATGAAGAAGTTTTAAAAAGTTGTATAATCATCTGTGTTTTTCAGTCACCCGTGGCGGGGGTTAATGAGCACGGTCCAGTTTGTAATATTAATACATTTTCAGCCTTACATTTCTATTTCCGTTATTACCACAAAAATATAGAAGAAAGTATGCTGTTAATATAAAGTTGGTTGAGAAGATATCCAAGAGACTGTATTGTTATATTTAGAAAGGAAAAGAAGCAAAGGGTTATTTAAATAGTGCAGAGCTAGACAATAGTACATTCGTATTCCATTGCAGATTGATTGATTTTGGAGCTCTGGGGATTGAATGCAGGGCCTTCACATTTACCTACATATCCACCCCTTTTAAAATGTTCTTTTGAGGTGAGGTCCTAGGCTGGGCTCGAATTTGTGATACTCCTGCCTCAGCCTTGCAAAGTTCAGTACTGGGACAAGCGGCATCATGCTTGGCTTCATTGTACATATTTTTTATGGGTAAAAGTAAGGGTAAAAATGACAGACTACTTTTCCCACCAAAGAAGTGGGAACATGCTGTAAGCTTTCTGACTATGAAGAAAAAGAGATGAATTAATTAAAAAGATTGTGAACATATACTTTATTTGAAGACAAAATACTTTTGAGACATTTTGAACAAAAGCTCCTTTCCAAAAAACAAGTACAAGGATTGCTATCATTTATCAAGGTCAGCTATTTGCACATACGATGGTTGATTCATATTTGTTTCTGACATATTCTTTTATGTAAGGGCTTCCCCCCACACACACACACTAAAAGCTGTGTGTTCCCTTTCAGCAGTTCCACTACATATTTTCTTGCAGAAAGCTGAATCTCTGTTTTCACTTAAAATTACTATATTAGTTTCAATAATTGGAGCCACTTACAATATCCAGCCCTTGGGCCTTTTTTGTGAAATACTGTACTTAAAAAAAAAAAATCCTAAACTTGATATTTATAGTTATCTTTGGTCTGTAAAACTCATTTTTGGCCTCATTTTTTTCGCCATCTTTTGATGCTTCTAGTACAAGTTTTTAGAAGTTTGGAAGAGATGGTTGCAAATTCTCTGGTGTCAGACTTTATACTACACTGTTTCAGAGAAGTATATGGTCCCTCTGGTGGTGAATAATGATAACGCTCTAGCTCAGTGGGTGGCATGGTTTTAAGCTAAAGGTTAAGCACTCATTCTGGATTATTCCCTTGGGTGTTAGCCCAGGACAAAGGTAGTTAATTGTTTCATGCTTTTCTTTAAGTTCCAGTCCTTGAGACTTGTGGGCTTTTTAAGCATGTACTCTGGAACTGAAGCCTACAGAAGGATCTTTGCATCCTAATTTGCTCTACTGAAGGTTTTATAGGACCTGAATAGCCTTTTAGCAGCCCTAGATAATTGTATAAACTGGTTTAATAACTTTAAAAATAGCTTGTGTGTTTTTTTCTTATTACAAAATGAATGTTTATTATAAAATACTTAGAAATGTAGATAAGATGAAAGAAAATGGTCCACCGTTTGTTTAACTTATTAACACTTTGTTTTATATCCTTTCAGTCTTTTTCTTTGTAATTTATATAAATAATGTTATATTAAAAGAATTTCAGAAAAACTGTTTTGTGCCTTTTTTTCCTTTGTGCCTAGGATTGAAACCAGGGCCTTCACACTGAACTACATCCCCAGCCCATTTTATTTTCTATTTTGAGACAGGGTTCCACTAAGTCACTAAGTTGTCCAGTTTATGCATTTGTCCTCCTGCCTCACCCTCCCAGTGTTGTGTTCATAGGCATGTGCCACCGCACGTGGGATGTGTCTGGTTTTTTATTTTTAAAAATTTTATCAGTACATGTTTGGAGTACATAGTGATTACATTCATCATGGGGAATTGGTACATGTACATAGCACATCTTACCCCTTTTCCTCCCCTTCCTTCTCCCTTCCTCCATCTTTTGGTCCCCTTTCTATTGTGCTCTGCTTCTTAAAGCTTTATTGAGGTATAGTTTACACAATTTAAATTTATCCTTATTATGTACGCTTCTATAGGTTTTCACAAAAATCTGTATTTGTGGGCAGGGGCTCTAGCTTGGTGTCACAGTGTTTGCCTAGCATGTATAAGGCCTTAACACCCAAAAAAAGTGTGTATTTGTACAACCATTATTATAATGAAGTGCTTTTTTTGCTACTGGGGATCGAACTCGGGACCTTCCACTTGTGAGGCAGGCAGCGGAACCACTGAGCTAAATCCCTGGCCCTATAATCAAGGTTTTAAAAAATAAATTTTATTTTATCCCATTCCCCCCTTTTTCACTTTTTTTCTTGCCCTTCCTTTCTCCTTCCCTCCTCCCTCGTTTCCTTTCCCATATAAACACTTTCTTCCCATTTCCCAACATACATTATACATTATATATTTGTCCATTATATGTTTCCACTTTTGATTTCTCATCCCAGAGAAACAATGCAGTATTTAAAAATGCATCCAATTTATTTCACTAAAGAGTGTGGTCTCAAGGTCCATCCATTTAGCTATAAATGTCTGAAGCTCATCGTTTATGGCAGTGTAGTACTCTGTTGTATAAAAAAAAACCCGCATCTTTATCCACTCATCTGTTGATGGGCATTTGGGCTGTTGCCAAGATTTAGCTATCACAAACTCTGCTGCTATAAACACGGATGTACATATATCACCGTGGTATGATGCTTTTTTTTTCGGTACCAGGGATCAAACTCGGGTCTTTGCACTTGCGAGGCAGGCGGCGGAACCACTGAGCTAAATCCCCGGCCCTATGATGCTTTTAATTCTTTTGGGAAGATACCAAGAAATGGTATTGCTGGGTCAAATGGAACCTTTAGTTTTAGTTTCTTGAGAAATCTTCACACTGATTTCCACAGTGGTTGCACCAGTCTTTACTCCCACCAACAGCGGAGAAGGGTTCCTTTTTCCCCACAACCCCTCCAGTATTTGTTATTGGTTGATTTCTTGATAGCAGCCATTCTTTCTGGAATCTCAGCATTGTTTTAATTTGTATTTCACAAATGACCAGTGATGTTGAACATTTTTTCATATATTTATTTGCTGTTTCTAATTCTTCAACTGAGAAGTGTCTTATTTCAGATGCCCAGTTTTGGATTGCATTTAAATTTGGGAGGTCTGCTTTTTTTGAGTTTTTTATATATTCTAGATAATAGTCCTTTATCTGAATAGCTGGTAAAAATTTTTTCCCACTCTGGATTGTCTCTTCACTCTGTTGGTGGTTTCTCTTGCTGTGCAAAAACTTTTTAATAAGATGAGGTCCCATGGGCCAGGAATTTAGCTTAGTGGTTCTGCTGCCTGCCTCCCAAGCCCAAGGTCCTGAGTTCGATCCCCAGTACCAAAAAAAAAAGCATCATGAGGTCCCAGTTGTTGATTCTTTGTAGTATTTCCTGTACGGTCTGGGTTTTATTCATGAAGTCTTTGCTTACTCCTATGTCCTCAAGTGTTCTACCAATTCTCTCGTCCAGCAGATTCAGTGTTTCTGTTCTAATACTTAGATCTTTAATCCATTTTGATTTTAGGTTAGTGTGTGGTGAAAGATATGGGTCTACTTTCAATCTTCGGCATGTGGAAACCCAGTTTTTCCGGCACCATTTATTAAAGAGGCTATCTTTCCTCCAGTGAAGGTGTTTGGCTCCTTTGTCAAAGATAAGGTGGTTGAGTATGTCTGGAGTTGTTTTTGCATCCTCTAGTCTGTTGCATTGATCCTCAGGTCTCTTCTTTTGGCAGTACCATGCTGTTTTTTTCACTGTAGCTTTGTGGTATAATTTAAAGCCAGGGATTATGATCCCCCATCTTGCCTTTGTTGCCCAGAATTGCCTTTGCTATTCTAGGTCTCTTCTGGTTCCAAATGAATTTTAGGATTGTTTTTTTCTAATTCTGTGAGATAGGCTGTTGGGATTTTGATTGGATTGCATTGAATCTGTATAACAATTTTGAAAGTTTGTCCATTTTCACTATATTGGTTCTTCCTATCCAAGAACAAGGGATATCTTTCCATTTTGTGATATCCTCTTCAATCTCCTTTTTCAGAGTACTGTAGTTCTCAATGTAGACATCTTTTACTTCATTAGATTGATTCCTAGGTATTTCATTTTTGGGGGATGTTACTGTGAAAGGGACTGTTTTTCTAATTTCTCTCTCCATGAGTTTGTTATTCATGTACAAGAAGGCTGTTGACTTTTGAGTGTTGACTCTGTATCCAGCTATGCCGCTGAATTTGGTTATGATATCTAAAAGTCTTTTGGTGGAGTCTTTGGGGTCTTCTATGTAGAGTA